AATAAAAAATTCTACTACTACTACTACTAGTACTACCCCCCCCCCTTTTTTTCTTTTAATTGCCGACGTTTCGGGTGCATCGGGTGGTTTCGGGTCTTTCTAGCACCCATGGTCATGGGGGACTAAGGTGACTGACGTCCCGATGTCAACGTTAACTTACCATAAAATCCGTAAAAGATACTCCACCTTTGACATCGGGACGTCAGTCTCCTCAATCCCTCGTGACCATGGGTGCTTTCGAGCAGGGCAGAGGAGCAGTTTAAAAACATTTAAAATTAAACGCGACAAAATCCGTAAAAGTAGTTTTAATCAATGTTCGCGTAAATATAAAAAATCATTATTTCATTTTTTTTTTCAATTCACATGATGGTTAGTCAAAGCTGTGGCCCATGGACACCAACCAATATCTATCCTCGATTAAAAATCAAAATGCTTGTTTACATCCTAAGACCTCTAGCCCTAATGCTTGTTTACATCCTAAGACCTCCAGCCCTAATGCTTGTTTACATCCTAAGACCTTCAGTCCTAATGCTTGTTTACATCCTAAGACCTCCAGCCCTAATCACTCGGTATACGTAACACAGCAGCGGTATAATGCAATTATAACTGATATTTAGTGAGAAAATGCGGTCTTTAAGGAGTATGCTAGGGGTGATCTGTATGACAGGGTGAGAAATTGTTTGATAAGAGAAAAATGTGGTATGCAAGATGATGTTGTGACCAGGATTAAGAAAGGAATGCTTCGATGATTTGGTCATGTAGAAAGAATGAATGAGGAAAGAGTGACAAAGCAAATTTATATTGCAGATGTGAACGGCAGAGTCGGAAAGGGACGCCCTAGACGAAAGTTTATCGACCAAATTGGCGGTATTTTGAAAATGGGCCACATTAGAAGTAGGTACCCGTAACCAACGAGCGTGTATGCGTAGATATATGGATGTAAAGGAGGTGAGGGAGGTATGTCAGTATCGTGCCAAATAGTCCGTAGTCTCTGCCTACCCCTCTGGATGATAGGCGTGAGTGTTTATTTTTTTATGTTTATTTAGTGAGAGTGTGATCTTTCTTCGATCAAGATAAGATCCCTACATTCTGCTGCCATAATATAGCTGCAGCGCGGTGCTACGTTCTACCACATAAAAAGATGATATGAACCATAGAACACTATAGTACATACATTGTGTATTATAGTATTCTATGATATGACAGTTTAAATAATGTAACAATACCGTAATTGATTATAAGTATATTATGTTATGTACCTTGTATTTTTTTAAATAAAACAGAAGTGACAAGCAAATTTACACCCTATGGACTTCTGCAGCCAACTTCATACAAAGAAGGCTTCGTACGATATACAGTGGACCGCGGTAATCCGAGAAACATTTTGCAGGGAAGTGTCGGAATATCGAATTTGTCGGATACTCTATATACTGCCTAAGACCTCTATAGTCCGGAAAATTTTAAAAAAGAGTACCTTGTAATCCAATAAATTAAAGATCCAATGATAAGATTCTATATGTTATATATGTACTCTGAAGTACAAATCATACTTCATTATGTATGTCAAATTTAGTAAATTAAGTAACACAATAGAGAGCTTACGATTTATTGTAAAATCAACGTTATTAAAGCTATAGAACTTACAAGAAATATGCAATAACTTTACATTAGGAAATAATTGTGTACAAACAAATATACATATACTAAAATATTCGGAATCAAAACAATACCCTACGTATCGAGCACAATAGTGGTGGGGCGTACAAGTTACAACTTGTTCAATCATGCATTAGCGAAGATTTTCAAAAAATATTCAATAACAAATAATAGACAATGTCGGATTACAAGCGGTGCCGGATTAGACAGTGGACGGATTATCGGGGGTCCACTGTATTGCGGATGGAATGCCTCATAAAATGTACCTACCGTAAATACCGTCTCTCTATATCTTTCAGACCAGAACTCATTGGTGTAGACCCTGGTATTTGGCGACAGAAATAGGGACACAGACGGACGTGGTAGCTCAGCTGGTTAGCGCTCGCTGTAAATTTCACAGTACGCGAGTAAGCCAGGTTCGATCCCAGCCGGTACCAACGAAATCGTTAATTGCGATTTTAAGTGCTGATTTTCAACGTGTTTTGCGGTGAAGGAAAATATCGTGAGGAAACCTGCATGTCTGAGAATTAAAAAAAATATTTCAAAGACGTGAATACCTAAGGCGCAATATAATCGCAACCAATTCCTTGCCCTAAAATCCTCTCAGTAAGGAGAGGCCTGTACCCAGCAGTGGGACGTATATAAGCTGTAACTTTAACGGACTCCTGAGCAGAAAATAGTACGTACTAAGATGGTATTATATAAAAACTCAGCCGAACTAAATATTAAACTATAATTTTTACTGCATACAAAAATTATGTTAATTTTCACCCTAAATAGTAACTTATTAAAAGTACGCTGCTAAACATTGGCCTCTCCTATAGATTGTGTGATTGCGCGGATATTTTCCACAGTTACCAAGTTTGGCTAATGGGTGAGCAACCACAGTTTTTTGTGAGCACTGAAGGAGTTTTTTGTGAGGCTGGAAATTCGCAAATTATATTGTGACACAAATTGCATATGTCCAAAACGGACACCTAAGGATGGTCGAATGAAAGCACAAACTTACGTCAGGCGCCTCTGACCATCGATCACTAATAAGAAACTAGATACACAATCAGTGACAAAAAACGACCTCACCGAATGAGCACCCATTCGAACATTTGGGTGCGCTTTTAAATCTATTAATCTAGTTAGTACCTAGGTTGACCAGTCAGTATCAGCCATAAAAATGTATTGCTTTTCGTACGTATCTTTGTGAATACAACTATAGGCGATGTATTTAAGGTTGAATTTACATAAATGTATATTTATTTCAACTAGAGTTACGTCACAACAATTGGCGACAGTTTTTAGAGAACTTTTGTATGGGATTGTGCATCTAGCCATCTAGTTCTTTATTAGTGTTAGTAATCGATGCCTCTGACACGTGTTCTCCGCACTCTTAATCTGATAGCCAGAGAAATTGACTTATACTGTTCTTCCATGAGTGAGTTCACAAAGTTTGCATTATAAATAATTTGTTGTATAGGGTTATTTTACAATTGCCGGTCAAATTTGCAAATAAGGTTCAGAATAAGTAATATAGGTAAATGGAAAAGAATACCTAATTAAAAAAAACTCAAAACATTCTGTTCTTTTATCTTTTAAATTCAAAATGCGTAGTAATAGAATATTTTAATTGATTGTCATTCATAAATATCTAACGTCTACTATTTTAGTAGCGTGACTTTACCACGTGAAACAGAACATAACTTCTTTTACTGTTCAATGTTGTCGTTCTTTGCTAATGGTTGCTAAGTAACGTACCTGCACAGTAATATCGATAAACTGTCACTGCAATTAAAATTCTTACTACGCAAATACTCCTGTCTGACTTAGATCCTTACCTATTTCCTTAATTTGTGATATTAATAAAAACATTGGTGTAACGACTGAGTCCCCTATTCCTGCTGAGCCCTGACTTCAGTGTTATTGTGATTCTGCGAACGTTCTGGTGAGCGATGTGGTGCATCGAACATTCTATAGTGGCGGAAAAACGTAAAACGGAATAAATTCTACTTTCAAAACTAATAAGTTTTGTTGAATATTAATTAATTCTAGAGAGGTTCTAGAGTGGCAAGTGGCTTCGTACCGGTAAGTTAACTGTAGGGTAGAACCCTTAACGTAGTGTCGGCCTGATAATACCTCCAGGAAGTCGATGGATTTGACTCGGGGCTATGTTTTGTGGCATTAATTGGGGGGGGGGTAGTCTTTTGTTCAGCTGTAGACTTGGTGAAGGGCTGTAATGATAATGATAAACAGTAATACGATAGGTAACACGTGTCATATTAAAGATGATGATATGTCTTTCCTAGTGTATTATTGTTGTGGTTTGTGGCGCCGGTGATAGTGGAGGGAGGGAGGGAGATGCTTGCGTCAAAATAAAATTATGTGTTTCTAGGTAAGACACATAATTTTTATCTTGACGCGAATTTTAACTAAGTACTATCAGTGCGTTTAAAGAATGGGATTGAAAATGGCGTCACCACTATTCACTTTTCGTTCTCACACTGTCTCTATCTAAACTTACAGCCGTCGGTGAAGACTGCAAGATAAATGGCTAACTTGTCATTGGAATATAATGATAACAAAATCTCATAAACTACAAAAAAATCAATCCAGGTTTGTTAATTTGCTACGATGCGTTCTGAGAGTTTCTTTCATAATTATTCTTGATTTTGTTTGTATTTTCGTATAAAATATTTACATACTGTTGACACATGAGTAATATTAAAAATTATCGTTTAACTGTCTGTCCGTGCCAAATTTCAGCGGGCGAACAGAGAGTAATACCAGAAGTGATATAAACAAAATTTTATCCGAAAAATTTGGATGTGTGATGTGGATTATATAAAATAAATTGTCTTTAATGATTACCTTAAGTCTGAATAACGCCACATTCATAGAATCCCACTCAGGCGAGCAAGAGCGGGACGCTAGTTATAAATGTTATTTTAAAATTAGTGTACCTACTTGGCTATACAATTATTTTCAAATGTTTTCCCATTAATAAAGAAAATCCAACTAACCGAATAATATTTACAACCTTCAACCGAGAGAGTCTCTTAGAAAAAATTATAGAAAGTAATATAATATTAAGTTTGACCTCTTTATTAAATATTTAAACCAAAACTATAAAAAGGGTTTCTAATCATCATCCTAGTCATCAGCATCTGCATTATGATTCGTAATAGAAGATAGATGTAGATGTCTATGATCATCATCAGGTGCCATGCATGCTCGTTTATCACCCTTAGTACATCCATATAATTCAACGAACAAAAGTAAATAATTGGTTTTGTAATTGGTAAAAAATAGGTTGAATTTGGTGTTTGTAGAGTGAGTTGTAGCGGCCTGCAGTGATGGGTCTGCTTGACAAGCTGTCTGTGTGGCTGGGCGGTGGGCGCGTGGAAGCCTCGGTGCTGGTTCTGGGACTGGACAATAGTGGCAAGAGCTCGCTGCTGCACGCGCTGCGAAGTGCTGACCAACGCCCGCAGCACGACGCCGACTACTTTACGAGTACGTGTACCCTCGAATTGAAATTGAAGTTTTCACTTCAAAAAAAATCGAAAATAAGAATAGTGATGATTTGAAACCAGATGAAACTAAAAGAGACGAACATATACATATATAGTATTTAGCCTGCGAGAGAATGAGATAGAATATTATATTACATTAGTTGTGTTTAGGCCATCTAGGGTCTATTACGTAACACCTAGAGTCAATAAATTTTTATCGATAAAATGACTTTAATTATAGTATGAAGTAGATGGTCCTATTACAAAGCCATTTTACTCGAAAGAAAATATTTTGAATTCTCATTTAAATTATTGATGACTCCATGGCGCAGTGGCTTAGCAATGAGTGACTGCGCTGGGAGTCGCGGGTTCGAATCCCGCACGGAACAAGTATTTGTATGGCCTGCAACTAATTGTTCCGGTCTGTATGTTTGTCCTTGTGCAATTTATGTTTGTAAACTGCCCACACGATAAAGGAGAAAATCTTAGTGTGGGGGTAACGTTTTTAAAAAAGAAAGAAAAAAAGAAAGAAATTATTGGACGTAAATGATATTTGGCATAGATATATTATGTTATAGGAGAACACGTGAATAAATAAGTTTTTCATAATTGAATTATTATCTTATGTCTATAAACACTAAGTACTATTTTTATATCAGGCGTTTATTCCGATGCACGTCTACCTAATAATTAGACATCCAACGGTGGCACGAACTATTCCATCAAATGGAGTTAATATTCTCGCAGTGCACTTAATTTTCAATTATATAAAAAGCTCTTTGGTCGAACTATAAGGATAATGAGAATTTCGCAATGATTGCAGGCATGGATTTTACCAAATACGAATATGCGTTAAAACTTTTATCGAACCGAATATTCGGCCGAATATTATTCGGTAGGATCACCTAGGTATCCAACCAATTTATGTCGAAACTTGTTACCGTAAAGTGCGCGGGATTAGCACCGGAGCCTTCCCCTCGCTCCCCGCCACACCTGACTGTTATTGCATCATCTAGTACCGGTGAGCAAATTTCCAGCACATGCTTATATTTTGACTATTTTTGTAAGAAAAAATTATTTCGTTGTGTTATTCTTAGTGAAAATTCATAATTACATGATAAAAATGAGTGACAGGAGATCTACTATTTGGACTTTTTTTTAGAGAAACTGCGGTGCAAAATAAAGTGAAATGTACTAATGTAATATAATATTTTTTTCTTTGATCCAAAAAACACTTTACTCAATAACATAATGCTATACAAGTAGATGTGTCCCATAAATAAAATATAATTTCAACAGAAACAATGAAAGACACGGCATTATTCAATTCGTACATTTCAATACAGTGGACACTTTGAGTACCACTTTGACGAATGTTCGGTGATTTAGCCGAATATTCGGCCGAATATAAATATTTGGTAAAGCTGCCGAATAATAAAAATTGGGTAAAGCTCACTTTCTCTACACTCACCATACGAAAAAGCTGCTCTTTCACGCTGGCATTCCGTGAGAGCAGGGTCCTTCTCCGGTCATTAAAAATATATTAAACTAAAATGTAATACATACTAGAATAGCCCAGCGAAAAAATCTGTGCCGCAGTGCGTGCGGGGCGCTTGGCAAGAGGTAAGAAGTACCTACGTTTTATGTCACAGGTTTAGTAAGTTTGAGACCGCTGGCTCTAACGCATGTTGCAAACAACGAAGTCTCAGCGTCTCTTCCAGTATGTAGTACATAATACTTCAATAATGCTTACAAAGTATACTTACATAAAAGTTATTAATGATTTTTAATGTCGTGCGCCTACGGCCGTTAAACTTTACTGGAATTACAATCGGAAGAGACCACCGAAACCTGCTACAGATAACAAGCGGCAGTAGTCTAATGATCATGAAGTGTAGAGGTAATGAGAACATAGGAGAATAGTTGAAAAAGTGTCCATCTTTAAACAGTTAGTAACAGTTCAAAAACTCTCCACAACAGCGCTGGAGTAGCTAGAGGGTATGAAATGAACTTAGCAGTTGTCGACGGAGTGAAATGTGATAAGAAATTTATTATTTGTGGTGACTAAAGTAGTTGATGAAACTGCAGTATTTAAAAGCTCAACTACTCACGTTGTCAAAGATAATTTAGTAAATATAACCTAGAAAACATTGCCGTAAAACACGTTGTGACTCTCAACTATTTTCAAAATAACTCTCAACTTGAGAGTGGTTTTGAAAATAATTTTTTAAAACAGTAAAATAATTATTATAAAAAGAAAATGGTGAAGAAAAAATTTTAAACTCTTTAAAATGTACCCTCTAGCTACAGTGGCGCCACCCCTATTTAATGCTTTTTCTGTTCTTCGTCTGTTCTTCTTACCTCTACACTTCATACTAATGATTAAGGATGCTGATTGAAAACGCGAAAAATCGTGGGTTAAATCTATTCGACTAATATTGTCGTGAACTATTCCTTATTCAAGATTTTTCTTCTTACTGGAAGTAGTTAATTAGAACATTTGTAATGCTATTATCACAGGGATGCTAGTATAGTGATGTACAGTGTGCACGTCGGTGCGTGCAGGTGGTGGGGTGACGTTCCGCGCGTGCGACGTGTCGGGCGCAGCGCGGCACCGCGCGCTCTGGGAGCGTCACTTCGCTCGCGCGCACGCGATCGTCTTTGTCGTCGACGCGGCCGACCATCTGCGCCTCGGTTAGAGGACACTCTTATGTGCAATGTTTGATTTATCTCTGATGGTTAGTGCGTAAGTCTCGTTTCCAGTAAAAGAGAGAGATTTTCTATACTCAACATAGCAGCATTATGCTATTATTTTACGTTGGTATTCAGCGAGACCGTGGTACTATCCCGGTCGTGCTGGGAGAAGCCAGCAATACTAATGTGTTATACAATAATTAAGAACACAAAACAAAGAAATAGCTTGGGAACAATCACTTCATTCCCAAAGTGAAATATTTATATTTAAAATTGTTCCAATGTTTCCATCCACGCATCTATTACAGCATATAAAAGTCCACTGCTGAGTGCTGCATAGGGCTCCCCTATAGATTGCCTTATATCACGCTTGGCAAGCAGATTTGGCAATTGGTCGTGTATGAGATTGGGTTCTTATCAGGTAAATGCTGCTGCCCATTTGTTGTCTTAATTGACCGTTGTCACCTCTTACGTCACCCACACCACGACATGGGGAAGTAGATATTATTACACTGACATTACACGGTCAGGTTTAAGGTTCAGAAACGTCAGAATTTATAATAGGTGTGGTATATATATATATATATATATATATATATATATATATATATATATATATATATATGTATTTTTATTTTATTTATTTATTCACAAATTGCGTTACATGTGACTTAGAGACTAAACAAAACATGCAAGTTCTAACAATAACGTGCACCTCGAAAGTCATAGCAATGAACAGGAGAGGGGCAGACACTTAAAAATTCTTTTCCTCAATGTATTCATTAATTGAATAATAACTTTTTTAATAAGTATCTCTTTTAAAGATCTTATGAATTTATTTAATATTTGTTTCGGATTTTATGTATTCCGGCAATTTATTATAAATTTGAAGATTGTCTCAAAGTATGGCATAATTGTTTTATTTTGTAGAATATGGGTGATAAACAAGCACACAGTCCACCTGATGGTAAGTGGATGCTGTGGCCCATAGACTTCTATATTTATCCTCGATTAAGAATCAAAACGCAGATGTATTTTCAACACTGAGGAATAAGATGGAATCCCTCGTTTCCAGTAAAAAAAGGGTCTCCGGATCTCTACACTCACCATACGAAACATAGCAGTATTACTCTGCTATTTAATGCTGGTATTCTGTAAGTGCGTGGTCCTTCCCTGGTCGAGCCGACCCGTTCTTGCTACAACCATAATATAGCTGCAGCGTGGCTCTATCACGTATAATGATGGAGTATAATATGGGTTTCCATGGTCTCGTTTATATGCCGTGAAGAAGGAACACCATGTACCACGCACGAGTCTTATTTAATATGACTTCCGCCCTCCTATGTCGTCCTTGCTCCCATATGAATTTCCTTGTGAGAAGGCGACAGTTACATTATTTTTGTAAATTGCCAATGGACCACAGGGGACCTGATAGAGGACTACACTCACAAAATACCAGCCTAAATTGTAGAAAGATACTATTGGTGCTGATTATTTTTACTTATATTATCTTAGCGCAACAAAAGCCTATTCACTTTTACCTTAGAGACGTCCAGATTGTATTCGGACTGACGCAAATTATTCCACTCTTTTGCTGTACGCGTAACAAAACATGAAGCAAACTGTTTGTTTCTAATGCGTGGAATATCAACAACAAAGCCGTGAAGATCCACCTTGCCCGATTGCGGAAACAAAAGGGGGAATTAAAACATGTAATTCCTGCTCACACTCTCAGAAATGGATCTTTTAGAATACCGAGAGGCTTACTCTGCGCCTATGCTCGATATTGACAAGATTGGTTTCAACCAAATCAAGGTTACCATTGAGCATCTTAGCATGTCTTTCCACTGAGTTTAATGCTGCTAGGCGGCATTTTGCAACACTAGCCCGTATGTGATAGTAGTTCCCCATGCACGACCGAACTTGCGCTTTATGTAAGGTAAGAAGCTGCCCAGGTGTGAAATACCGCCACATCCTTGCAAGGACACATTTTCCTTGCGGCTGCTTCGGCCTTGGACTCAATGAACTGCCTATAGTTGAGATTCGGAGTAATGTCAATCCTTAACAACTGAAGGCTCAGGGTAAGTGGGATCCTTTTAGCGACGAAAATTTTTGGAGCGTTTTGGAGGTAGTGAATATCACGACATGCTGAAATGAGGCGATTACACCGAATTCTATAAGCTGTTAGACTTTGATTGAGAACGTGATGCACAGAGGATCTGTGTGGCACGCAGCAGTTGCGTGTCACATTTTAGCAGTAACCCACACAGAACTGTTAACCATTACGTGTACCGTTGTGTCAGTGGTGGCACGCGAGGAGCTGCAGCTAGCGCTGGCGCACCCCGAGCTACGCGCGCGCCGCGTGCCGCTGCTCGTGCTCGCCAACAAGAGCGACGACCCGCACGCGCTGCCCGCCGCGCATGTCGCCGCAGGTGCGTGTAGCATGATGCCTGTACCGTAATTCGACTAGCGTGATGCCTTAAGTGTGATGCGTGTAGCGTCGTGTGTGAAGCTTGATGCGTGAAACTTGATTCGTGATACGTGCTGGTGTCGTGTTGCAGCTGGCGCTGCTCGTGCTTGCCAACAAAAGCGACGACTTGCACGTTCTGTCTTCTGCATACGTCGCCACAGGGGCGTGTAGCGTGATGAATATAACATGATAAGTGTAACGTGATTAGTGTAGCATGATGCATAGCGTGATGCGTGTTGCGTGCTGGAGCCGTACTGCAGCTAGCGTTTCTCGTGCATGCCAACAGAAGAGGCTGCTGGTGTCTTTAAGTGTTGTGAATTCTGAAAAAGGTTTTTTATGGCTTAACTCGTGCTTTTACCACATTATAACCCCTCATGCCATTCACACTCATGTCCCAACGTAGAGATACAATAACTCGTTTTCTTAACTGTCTAGCGTCATTTTTACATATTCTGTAAAAATCCACCGAACCCAAAAAAGGCGACCGCTTAGACTCATCCAACTAAAGGCCTATCGCCATCACCTCTTTGTTCTCCAAAATAATGTAATTCTTGAGGTAACTTGAGGATCACCAGTTGATTAGTGACCGCCATTACGGTTTTCATCGCTGTTAATCAGCTGTTGATCTTCTGGTCTACCTGACTCATAGATGTGCGGAGGCAGTAGAGTCCAAGAAGGAGGTTTTGGCCGTTAGTCTGGACGTAGCAAAGGCTTTGATCGAGTTTGGCACAAAGCGTTTATTTCGATGCTTCCTTCCTATGGGGTTCCTGAGAAATTGTGCAATTGAATAATCAGTTTTATTGCAGATCAGAGCATCAAAGATAATAGACGTGCATGCTTCATTTACAAGCTTATTAACGCTGGTGTTCCACAAAGCTGTGTGCTATCACCACTTTTACTCATCATTTATACACATTTAACTCCGCTACCATATGCAGGGCGGGGAGGGAATTGGGCCTCCGGCCTTGCACTCACCAGGTGAAACTCTCACTCACACTCCTGTGAGGTCGTGTACCACCCCGGTTCGAGCCGGCCCATCCGTGCGACAGAGAAAGCTGCCACATTGATCTACCACTGTTAAAAAAACTTTTACGCCCTATGCTAACACTGCACGCCTCGCTGCTCCCAATTTGGGGCCTCGAGCATACCTTAGTTACAATACAAGCTATTTCTAAATTTCATCAAAGTTGGAGGTAGGTAGTTTTGTAATATTTTTGTTCTTCTAAGGAACCTTCTCATTTGTGACCATGCATTTTGAAAAAAATAGAATCAAAATGGTATTCAAATATAGTTTTTGTTTTATTTTTTAATAAAATCAGTACAATCAGTAAATCTACAATTCAAATAAGTGTTATGAAAAAACTAGACGATCTCAAAATTCTAACTTCACTTTTACGATTATGTAGCGACCACCCCAAACAGACGCCAAATTACCGAGCAAGCGACCATTAGCTAGTAAACAAATATTCGCGAATCGTAAGAGTCTCCCGCCCCCTTTCATCTTTTCTTCCCTGTACAGCCCATATCGGGAGCTCACTTAGCGGATGTAATTAAATCATCGATTTGAGTTGGTAATACTTTAAAAATCTTAACAATATATGGTAATAGGATACGCAGAGTAATGGATGAAAAAAAGTCGAATATACACAACGCTGATATACGCCGAGAAGTAGCGACCTACAAATGTTGTGCGGTCAGTCGCGGAACTAAAATATTCGCTGAAATTTATTGCAATGATGAAGCAACGTCCATGCCAAGTTTTTTTCGTCTGTCTGTTGGCTGATTATCAGGATGGGTCAATCTTGCATCCATATACTGGACGCAACAAGTCGGTCAGACTCAACATTATCGGTAATTTCACTCATGTAGGACGCAAGATTACTTATGAGATGCAAGGTTACATATCCGTGAAGACATTTAGTACAAACGGAAATAATTCGTAGTAAATAACCTACTTGCGCACTTACGTATCGAGATTGAAATTCAAAATTCTATAAGGATTAAGGACGTGTACCAGCAACCATATCATCCAAATTATAACCATGGTTTATATCATTGCGCTGACTATATGCATATGGGTCTGCTAATAATTGAAACGAAGAAGTTTTTTTCAACCGCATTTTCATCGCAAATTATCATGTGAAGTAACGCAAAGCTTTAACGTTTAACGCTTCGCGTCAAAACATGACAGTTAAGTGAACAGTAATAATCTGCATTCGTAATAAATAATCAAGAATCAGAATAGTGACTGGTGAAGGCACCAGTGTGCGTGCGTGCGTACGTGCGAGCGTGCGCGTGCGTGCGCGTGCGTGCGTGCGTGCGTGCGTGCGTGCGTGCGTGCGTGCGTGTGCGTGTGCGTGTGCGTGTGCGTGTGCGTGTGCGTGTGCGTGTGCGTGTGCGTGTGCGTGTGCGCGTGCGAGTGCGCGTGCGCGTGTGCGCGTGTGCGCGTGTGCGCGTGTGCGCGTGTGCGCGTGTGCGCGTGTGCGCGTGTGCGCGTGTGCGCGTGTGCGCGTGTGCGCGTGTGCGCGTGTGCGCGTGTGCGCGTGTGCGCGTGTGCGCGTGTGCGCGTGTGCGCGTGGGCGTGGCGCGTGGCGCGTGGCGCGTGTGCGCGTGTGCGCGTGTGCGCGTGTGCGCGTGTGCGCGTGTGCGCGTGTGCGCGTGTGTGCGTGTGTGCGTGTGTGTGTGTGTGTGTGTGTGTGATTCTGTTTCATAGTAACCAAAAGTATAATATGTACTTAGATTTAATTAATAGAATCAGGTGTTACTTTGCGGAAATTCATTAAATTTAATCCGTAAAAATAAAATAATGTGTCTTACCTAGTTTGAACAAACGTCCCCTCCCTCCATTCTGTGAAACTTCTAGACTGGCATTTTAGAATAAACACTTACTTACTTACTTACTGTTTTAGACAAGTCCGAAATAAAGTTACATAATTATCCAAAAAAAGTTCAAATCAACTTGACAAAATATTCACAAAAATAATGACAGCGTTTCTTAGTCATATAAAAAAAATCAGTATAGGTCTGTCGAAAACAACATTCGTGATTTACGAAATAGTCTTCTCGCCCGTTCACAGTTATAGACTAAAAAAGTTACGGACAATTGACTGTAAATTAGTGCGTAGTGTATTAGTACTGCAGTATAGTTGCCGGCACGAACGGTGAGCACAGATGAACTATGGTGGGGGTTGAACCAGCGTAGGTACGCTGTCGGCCAAAATTATTAGGTTCTGTTGTTATTTCAATTCTTAATTGAATATTTTCGCTGACTTTTTTTCGAAATTCTGAGAGTTTACTTCTTTAACTATACGACGTACAGTAGCTACTTAGACATTAGTCGCCTTAGCAGTCTGTTTATAAACGTCTATCATGTTTTTCCCAATACCTAATTATTTCATGTAACAAAACACTGAATATACCATTTGTCGGGATTGTTTATTTAACACCGAATTCTTTCTTCTCTGCATATTTAGCAGAAAATCCGAATGTTCAAATTATAACAAAAAAAAAATTAACAACAAGAAATATCAAAAACAGTTAAAAACAAGAAATACATAAACAACAATTAACAACGAGGTAACACTACAATTAACAAAAATAAACTAATTAAAAAGTTGTCACTAAAATTGCTCTCAAGTGTACGGTAGTCGAATGATACGAACCCAATGGACGACGAGAATCGGCTGACGTGACGATCATGTTATGCGTCAGCGTGGTTAACGTCATATCGACCAATAAAAAGTGTGTTCACGACTCGTGGCGGCAATTATACCTGTCTAGTAGCATGCATAGAAGTTTTTGATTGAGGGAAGGCGATGTTCTTTGTACTAGTTAAGACAAATAATTTTCATTTTTATGCGGATTTTAGCTAATTAATTTTTAATATACTAAAAATTAACATATAACCACCAAATGACGTGTGATCGCATTGCTCCAGCACTGGGCTTGGAGCGCATCAGCGACAAGCCGTGGCACGTGTGCGCGACGAGCGCGGTATCGGGCGGCGAGCTGGCTGGCGGCGTGGCGTGGCTCGCGCGACAGTTGCGCGACGCGGCGTTGCAGCAGCGTCGCTGAGCCTCACATTTCGTTCTGCACGGAACACTTTACACAGCACGGCAAACGTCAAACAGCAGGGAAAAGTCTCATTGCACGTATCACGCAATACTGCATGGAACATGTTACAATAAACGGAAAACGTTAAACTGCAAAGTACACGTTACACTCCACGGAATACGTCTTGTCGCCTATTATACAGTGCTACCACCAAGCCCAGTGTGAAGTCTTCTTTGCAGTCTCAGAGTGTATTAACCACTGATTTGTTTTTATTAGTATAATACGTAGATATGTAATTGTTATGAATGTATAAATTAATGGTTTATTCAACACATATAGAACAACGTACAACGAAATTACAGTAAACAAAGCAGGAAAAAAACAATATACAAATAATGATAATCCCCGCCGTCATCCATGAAATTGTTAACTGAAATTTAAAGTTCTAATTAACCACGTGCTTGACGGTGAAGATAAACATCATTAGGAAACCGGCATGTCGGAGAAACAAGGAAAATAATACTTCGAAGACGTGTAAAGTTTGCCAACACGCATTGGGGCAGCGCGGCGTAACTTTAACTTTAAATAATAACAATAATGTCGAAGACTTATGTATCCTACTAGACCAGCAACAAAAGCTTTAAAAGTATTTAACAGTAGTGTAATAATTACTCTAAGAACAAAAGTGTCACATCTGTGGACAGCGCGGGCGCGGGCGAGGGCGAGTAGCTGGCAGGGTAAATACGTGATGTTGTTCTCTTTTCACTAACCACAGTTACTTAAATAAATTTTTTCCTAGTCACACGTTATTATAGTTGTAGCAGGAATGTCTATGAGCCACTTACAATCAGGTGAACTGTGTGCTTGTTTGTCACCCTTATTCTATAGGAAGAAAGTCACATTAAAGGAAACCAGTGTTGGGTAGTCGAAAACAACGTTCGCGGTTTACAAAACAAAGAATTATAGTCAACCAAATCTAAGCAATACCTTTTGACGTTTCACATTAATCATTACGTAATAACTTTGCACAATCGTGCTTACACGATTTAAAATAACCTTTTACGTAAATCCGAAGAATTATGAAGTTACCTATATTTTATTACAATGTGTATAGTTTTTTATCACTAATTTAAATTTGAATCTCTCAAACAAAGCATAATATAAAAAAAATAACCAGTATCAAATTTTTTACTTGACGTTCTTTCAATGATATGTCGCTATGTACCTTACCGTAATGCGAATAATCGACAAATATATTCAAATGCGGTATTCAATGGCGGATTTGCTTCTCGCCGGACGATCCCAACGTTGTTGCGGATTCTGTCGCTGATGTGGTACTTCAGGGTATGGAACTTTTTATTCCTTCCTCTGTGGTGCCCATTGAAGGCAAATCTCAGCCATTGTTTGGTCGCTCCTCTAAAATGGATCATGCTATAAGTAGGAGTGCTACCAAGCCTGGACTAACGCATCAGCGTCCCGGGATGTAAACACCAGCGCTATAAAAAAGAAGTATAATTCCGCCTCTAGGTCCTTCAAAAGAGTCATTGCCAAGGCAAAGTCAGAGCACATAGGCAGAATTGGCGAGGAACTAGTTCGCCTTCCTTCTGGAACCCGTGCATTCTGGTCTCTCGCCAAGGCTGTCCAGGGGAATTTCTGTCAGCCATCCATTCCATCTCTGCACAGGGAGGACGACTCACTGGCCCATATCGCAAAGGAGAAAGTCGATCTGCTAGGCTCTTTCTTTGCGTCCAACTCGACTCTCGATGACGGGGGGGAGTACGCTGCCGACCATCCCGCGGTGTGAGTGCTCCATGCCGGAAGTGCAGTTTACACAGCGCTCGGTTCGCAAAGCACTCCTCTCCCTGGATATTCACAAGTCGAGTGGGCCTGACGGAATCCCCCCAATTGTGCTGAGGATGTGTGCTCCTGAGCTGGCACCGGTTTTAACGCATCTTTTCCGGTACTCTTACTTCCTAGGCGTAGTCCCAAAATCATGGAAGACTGCTTTCGTCCACCCGATCCCTAAAAAAGGCGACCACTCAGACCCGTCCAACTACCGGCCTATCGTCATCACCTCCTTGTTCTCCAAAACAATGGAGTCTATTGTTAACTGCCAGCTCATGAGGTACCTTGAGGATCACCAGCTGATTAGTGATCGCCAATACGGTTTTCGCCGTGGCCGGTCAGCTGGTGACCTTCTGGTCTACCTAACTCACAGATGGGTGGAAGCAGTAGAGTCCAAGGGAGAGGTATTGGCCGTTAGTTTGGACATTGCGAAGGCCTTCGATCGGGTTTGGCACAAAGCGCTTCTTTCGAAGCTCCCTTCCTATGGGCTTCCCGAGAAATTGTGCGATTGGATTCTTTCTTGAAGATCGGAGCATCAAGGTCGTTGTAGACGGTCCAAGCACCGATTACAAGCCTATTAATGCTGGTGTTCCACAAGGCTGCCTGCTATCGCCAACACTGTTTCTTCTGCATATCAATGATATGTTGCAAACCCGTAACATTCATTGTTATGCAGATGACAGCACTGGTGATGCTCTGTATACCGGCCGTGCCAATATTTCTCGGGAAAACGTCTCCGAGTACCGGGACAAACTTGTGTCTGAAGTCGAGTCTTTGCTGCACAGAGTCTCGCATTGGGGCGACAAAATCTAGTCTAGTTTAACCCCCAGAAGACACAAGTTTACGACATATCGAGTGACGTGCAGTTTCGTGGTCACTTGGAAGAGAAGGCCAAATTGGCCTCTAAAAAGCTTGGCGTGCTCAGCAGAGCGGGACAGTATTTCATGCCGGCACACCGCCTGCAACTTTACAAGCTTTTTTTTGATTAATGTGCGTAATTTTGTGACTTTGTGTTTATCTTCTTCTTTTGTGACTCTGCTTTAACTTTTTGGACTGCTTCTTATATATTCGTCGAAGAATGTGCCCATGTCACAAAGGATGATTGGGCAAAAGTGGTAGAAAAGAAATAAGCAGTAACAAAAAATACAAAGAAACGGATAAATCTTGTGTTTTAAATTATCCGCTTCTAATTTATTCTGCTACTATTCAAACCAAATTGTTAATGATTATTGATTACCAACTCTAAATAATTGATATCGATTTTTTAAGAATCGAATATTGTACGTTCCCATTTTTTGGTTGGCATGCTTAGTGCAATTAGTCTGACAGCTGTCAAAATGTATTTTTAGATTTAGTTGACTATAGTAGTCTTCTCTGCAGCTCGCATTCGAATTAAGGAGTTATGGAAAATTGACCATCATTTAGTACGCAATGTATAAAGTTTGTAAATCCCGTTTAGTAGTACACACAGAAGTCTTTATTTAATATTATGTAAGGTAAGTGAGGATAATATGGTCATCTTAAGCTTTGTCGCCCTACAAAACCAAAACTAGGAGAAGAACTGATAAGAAACACAATATCGTATACTACACAACTAATATAATAGAAAAAAATAGCAAACGAATGATTTCTTATATTTACGCGAACACTACACATTGAAATAATACTAGTTTTTACGGATTTTATCGCGTATATTTAAACTATAAATACCCGACGTTTCGAGCGCTTTACAGCACCCATGGTCACGGGGGGGGGGACTGAGATGTTCAACGTCCAGATTTCATAGTTAACAGCTGTTACCATAGATTTTTGACCGATCTACACAGTATGAACTTATGGTATCTTGAAATCTTGCGGTTGTATGCTTGGGTTGGGATTTAATTTTATTTATTATAGGATTCCAAGCAGATGGTAGCATCCAGCCATCTTCTCTATTGAAATTAGGATGTTTTTTGATTTCAATAGCCTCGCGAAGCATCCTTGGAAGGAATCGGTGTTTTTAGCGAGGATTTGTGGTCTATCAAATCTGATGTAGTGACGGGGGCGATCCTGTGCGTGTTCACAGACTGCAGACTTCCCGGAGCGTCGATTCTTCACATCAGCTATATGTTCTTTAACGCGGATTTTAATAGATCTTTTAGTTTGTCCTATGTAGGAGAGACCACGTCGGGTATTTATAGTTAACGCGAAAAAATCCGTAAAAACTAATATTATTTCAATAGCAAACGAACTTTGGCAATAATTAGGAACACTTCGAAAACTCTACTTAAAGAAAACTAACTACACTACACAATACAAAATCAACATTTACTATATTGTTAACTGTTAAAATGGTGTAGATAAAGCAGCTACCTTTTGACCCTTTATTATTTGATTGACTGATAAAAATTTTCGTATCATAGAGCCTACAAGAACAAGTTGTACGACAACAAGGAACCCTCACATACACATATATTTGTTTTTATATCAATCATACCTAGATATTACGTAATTGTTGTAAATGTATTAAATAAATAATTTATTCGTAAAACACAACATAACGCACATAGAACTTACAACATTAAACAAAGTAGAAAAAAACTAATACAGGCAAATAATAGTAACAATGTCCTCCAGACCGAAAATCGGCCAGTCTCATGTTAGACAGGATTATAGTGCCCAAGTAAGTAATATTGTGACATTATACTTGTAATATTAGGTGTGTAATATAGTGGTGTTAATATATGTACAAGTACAGGTACGTCCTCTATTACCAATAACGGCTTTTATGTGCTTTCCGAGACCCGAAAGTAGATAAAAACCGCCGACTTTCTCTAACTACGGGCTGCGACTGAGAATTTTTTGGCAGAAAAAACTAAATAACTGACTTTTGTTGGCCCGATCCGTGATTCGAACCCGGGACCTCATACGTTGAGCTTCAGCAACGAAAATGCATCCGAATCAGCATAACACTGTAGCAGTTATATATATATATATATATATATATATATATAAATTAGATAAATTGGATGTAGTATATACAACATGTAACAAAAACCCTGTGGTTCCCGTTAACTGCGTTATCAGAATCAGTATCCAAGCATGTGGAAATAATTTTTTTTTTCAAAAAAAACGCATTTAAAAAAATTAATTTTAATAAAAAAAAATTAATTTGCAAATTTTATGTGGTTTTATTA